ATTTTTTTTTTTTTTTTTTTTTTGGAATGCTCGATTTGTCTTTTTAACGTTTCCCCCTCCCCTCCCCTCCCTCTCCCCCGGATTTTCGAGAAACACGTTTAACCATCGAGATGCGTGGTACACAATACATGTGTATATCAAAATAATTTCGAGCGAGTTGATAGTCGGTCGTGTTTATTTTTTTCATTAGTGGAATGTGAATCGATCCCGTTCTCATTATACGTTTCTTTCGTGTTTTTATTTTTTTTTTCACTCGCGATCGCAGCCGAACGAATATGTAATTATGCCTAATAATAATAATAATAATATGTATATTATAGAATCGAAGCACAGCGTTTCTCTCTCTCCCCCCCCTCTCTCTATATATATATAAAAAAAAAAAAAAATGAATAATAATAAAACAACTACCTACCTAAATATGTCGTAATGATATGATTAGAGTTTTCTTATATAAAAAAAAAAAAAAAAAAAACTAAAAAAACAACAAAAAAAAAATCGACAAAAAATTACAGACTTTCACGTGGTATTATTATTATAATGATAATAATAATGTATCGAACACACTAAAATAATATTATATATATATATATATATATATTTTTTTTTTTAAACATTCGCTCTTTAAGTAAAATATCGACGCAGTTCTCCCACTGCCTCCCCCCCGACAAAAGGAACACAATAAATACCATATTATACAAAATAATAGTCTTAAGAATTATTATTAAAAAAAAAAAAAAAAAAAACATTTTTTTTCCCATATTAAATAGAAATGAATTAAAAAAAAAAAAAAAAAACCGATATAATTGTCATCCTTTCGTATAGTTTAAAACAATAAAACTTAATAAATTAAACGTTATTTTCAGCAACTTTTTTTCTTTTTTTTTTATTAGAAAATATCATAATATGTATATTATAATCATAATCGCGGTACAACAATATTAAGAAAAAAAAAAAAATCGGAGACACGACCGTCGAACACCATCATCAGTACAAACGTTATTAATTACTATAAGTTATTTTAATATATATTATTATTATTATTTTTTTTTTTTACAATATGGCACAAACATTGTTTTTTTTTTTTTTTTCATGCGGTTTTTATACTCGATACATTATTTTTTTATATATATATATATAGATTATTATTATAATTCATAAGCATCGAGCAGCGCGTCGTTTAGTAGAAAAAAAAAAAAACAAAAACGATCACATTCAATAATTGTCGGCCGACGGTCCGCGGCAAACGTGCCTGCGTTAATTGTATTACACGAGTATTTTCGGAACGAATGCCGCGCACTCTGTACGCGTAGTGTTTGACAATAATAGGTAATAATAATAATAGTAATAATAATAATAATAATAATAATAATAATAATAATAATAATAGAATAGGTACAGCTAAGGTATACTATTATATAGTTTTTAAAATTTTTTTTTTTGTTTTTACGTAATAAATTTAAAAAAAAAAAAAAAAAAATAGTAAATAAATAAATAAATAAATAAATATATATATATATATATATATCAAATATATATTGGTAAATATAATTCCGAAAAACAATATAATTTATTGTATATTGCATGGGTATGCGTAATAAATATAATAACATCGGTGCATTATTATATAAATATAATACGGTAAGTGCAATGAAAATTTACGTAAAAAAAAAAAAACCAACGGGCGAACGTTTTTTTGAAAAAAGAAAACACAACGTAAACGAATATAAACAATTTTTTTTTTTTTTCGATATCACAAAGACGCCGCCGAATATAATGTGATTTATATTTTAAATAATGTATTTTACGGTTTTCGGTATTACATTATGAATATACGGTATCGCGGCAGACCTGCCGTCAGCGTTTCGGTGTAAAACTCTACTAACGGGCGAGACGAAAAAAGAAAGAAAAAAAAAAAAGCAAAAAAAATCCGCACACGCCGATTTCGGTTGTATTTTTTTATGCTCTATACCGCGGCCAAACATAATTCGCCATCGGTCGCGAACAACGCCGTCTGAACATCTTAACAATTTACACACATTCGGACGCGTCGGTTATTCGTTTATTGATTTATCATTTTTTTTTTTTTTTTTTTCCATCCATTTACAATATAAATCACTTATTCTCGAATTGTTCCCAATTTTTTTTTTTATTTTTTATACAACATTGTATGCGAAACGTTTTTTGTCTTGAACGGCCCGCGCGCGGTTTACTGATCGTCGTTTTCGGCCGTCGGTAACGGGCCGGGCGAACCGGGCGAATCGTGACGGGCTGCGGCGGCTGCCGCGTGTTCCGAACGTTCGTCGTCCTGTTCGGCCGGCGATTCCGACCGGCGCGTCTGCTGCGGTTTCTCGTCTTCGCTGTCCGTGGCCGAATCCCGCGACGGCGGCGTGGCCCGGTCCGCGGCCCCGTCACCGTGGTTGTCGTCGTCCTCCTGCAGCGAACGGTCGTCCGCCCGGTCCGGGCTGCCGTCCTCGGCGTCCGCGACCCTCTTGGCGTGCGCCGCTTGCTGGACGGCGGCCATGGCGGCCGCCGACTTGAGCCCCGTCTCCAGGCTGGATCGTATGATGCCGTCCAGGAAGCTCCCGTTGTCGGTCCCGTCGTACAGATTTTCGGCCACCTCGCGGGCGCTCTTGCCCAGGCTGGCGATGGACGCGGTCTGGTGGTGCAGCCGCGACTCCGCCTGGATCCGTTGCATCATCGACATGGACGAGAATGTCGCGGGGTTCCGCGGGTAGTCCATGGGCATGTGGAACGGGCTCGGGGCCCAGAACGGGAACGACGGCTGGTACGGGCCCACCGGGCCTGTAGCGTCAAATATTTTGAGCCCGTTGGGCGTCTGCAGCGGACCGGACGGCTGTTGAACCGGGAACACGTGCGCGGGCAGTTTGACGGCGGGCGGCGTGGACGACGACGGTTTGTCCGCCGGTCGGACTGACGCGGGCAATTCGGCCGACGACTTCTTGCGGTCCTGTTCGGCGATCGCGGCGGCCGACACCGAGGACGCGGGCGGCGGATTCTTAGGCTCGCGTTTCCTCGGTCGCATCAGATGCCTTTCTTTGACTTTGTATTCGAGCGTCGAGTGGGGCACGCCGTAATAGGACCCGGCCCTGTGTACGCTCATCTCGCCCCGTTGAACCGCTCGCACGGCTTCCACCAGACTGTCCCGATCGTAATTTCGGTATTTGCCCCTTTTCGGTCTGGTGCCCTTGCCACCGGCCGCAGCTGCCGCGGCGGCAGCGGCCGCCGCCGCGGCAGCGGAGCCGGACGACGACGACGACGAGCCACCCACGTGGTGGAACCCGCCGCCACTGCTGGACATGGGCGATGCCGCCGGAGTCGGTTTGGTAGGCGTGGGTACTCGTTTCCGGCAGTCGTCCAGTAGATTGTTGTTGTTGTGGTTCCTGACTATGGCACTTCCGGGCGAGAACACGGCCGAGGCGGGTACGCCCTGATGGTGATGGTGCTGTTGGTGTTGCTGGTACTGGTGGTAGGCCCGCGCGAGCGATTCGACGGCCGGCATAGGCAGCGGCAGCTGTTGGTCGGTAGAGGTTTGGAATTTGTGCGTGATGCTCTTAGCGATCACGTCCCTCAGGTTGAGCGGATGTTTGCTCCCGGACGACGAAGGCGGGGAGGACGTATCGCTCCGGACGCTGTTGGCCCGACCGGGTGACCGGAGTTCCCTACTGCCGGCCGGGTCGTATTCTCCGCTCTTTCCGGGCACCGGTTTGTACGACGGTATTCTCAGTATGACGTTGGACGGGTTCGAGTCGTCGTCGTTACTGCGACCCGTGTCCATTGGTTCCGAGGAGTTGCAGCCGTTTGACGACCAGCGTCTCGGATCCGCCGCCGCCACCGACTTGTTGTATTGCTGCATCTGTTCATCGTCCAGTATCTTGCGCATCATTTCCGAGACCGTGAACCCTTTGAGAAATTCGTTCGTGTGCTGTGGTGGCAATTGCGGCGGGGCCGGTGGCGGCGGACTGTCTTGCGCCTGCAATCGCGGCGAACCTATTCCTGCCGGTTGGGACCCGGCCGTCGTGGACAGCAAATGCGCTAGATACGTTCCCATTTTTCGAGGGTCGAGGGCTGCGGCGGCGGCCGCAGCCGCAGCTGCTGTCGGCCACAAGTCCGTGGCCATCGGCGGCGGCGGCAACCTGGCGGCGGTCGACGGGGGCGGCGATGGCGACCGGCAGTCCGTCAGGCTTTCGTCACCGCGATAGCTTTCTCGTCTGTTTTGCGGCTGTAACAGTTTATTGTTGGCGCAATGTTGCAGGAACAGCCGGATCGTTTCGGGGGTCGGCATGACCGCTGCGGCCTGTTGCTGTTGTTCCGTCGAGAACTGGAACAGATTTTCGAAGGTCATGTACGGCGACGACGACAACCTCGTCTGGTGTCGGTGGTGTTGGTGCTGGTGCTGGTGTTGCTGGTGATGGTGCTGTTGTTGGTGGTGCTGGTGCCGCGGTTCCTTGTCCGTCACCATATCGGCCGACGTCCTGGCACAGTCATCTTCACCCGCGGACACTGTGTCCCGGTCGTCATCGTCGTCATCCTCGCCCAGTATGGGCAGCAGTTTAGCGGCCACCGCTTTGCACGGGTCGTCAGCGCCCACCGACGCCCTGATCCCGCCGCCGCTTTCCCGCTCCAACGCCATCTTATAGACCTTGTTTCGCAATGTCGACCTCGGTATGCCGTAAATGACGGCCGCTCTCCTCGTGCCCAACTTACCGTTCTGGATGTCCCGGAGCGCCGCTTGCAGCTCGTCCTCCGTATACGTTTTACGCCCGGCCATATGACTGGGCTTTGTATTCTTGCATCTGTCCGCAAAAACAAAAAAAAAAAAATCATCCGTTTAGAGAAATAAAAAATTAAAAAAAAATACCCAGGACATCGGGTGTTTTTCTTTCGATTTTTGAAAAAGAGTTTTTGAGTTTCCCGCGAACGACGACCTAACCTAACCTTACGGACGTATTTTCCAACCGTATGCGTGCCAAGCGCACCGTCGTGCGTGTAACGGTTGCGTTTTTTAAAGAGATATTTCGCCGTCGTAGTTATTCGGCAAAAAAACGACCAATATACCGTAAGATACACGTGTGCGCATACACACGCCAGCGCTCACGCAATCTGTTAGCATTTACGCACTCGTAAAACTCAGAGCGCAGTGCTCGAAAACCATAAATCACGTCATATTAACTTAAAGAATTTCGCAACCGCCGCCAGACGACGAATACGCGTTACTTATAATATTGCCAGTCAGGAGGATTTGGTTTTGTTTTTTGTTTTTTTTTTTTTCCAAACACACACGCAAATAATTCGCGATAAGAAATTGTCTCGAATTGAAATCGTGACTTTGATATGACCGGAGCACATTTTCGGTATGAAATCTTATCGCCTCGGAGACAATAAATTGTTGTCTTCCGAAAAACGTATCGAAAAAAATTGCCGAACGTCTGCGTATTATACAATAGGTCAACAATAAAATTTGTTATCGATAAATGTTCTATAGATAATATTACCACGGGTAAAATTAAAAAAAATATACACATCGACAAAAAAAAAAAAGGAAAAAAGCAGCGAGGTTTTGATAAAAAAAAAAAAAAAAATTAAAAATAAAATAGTTTTATACTTGTATATCGGTACCTAATATAAGTACACGTATAAATCATGTTACAAAACTCACTTGAACGTGTTCCGGTTAATGAGTGCGGGGGGCTTTACGTTGAGCGGTTGGTGTGGTAGGAACGTGGACGCGGCCGGTATGAGGTCGCAAAGCTTGTTCATCATTTCCGTCGTGTTGAGATCTGACGTGAACGGGTTTACGGCGGCCGCGGAGGCTACGGCTGCGGCTGCGGGCGCTGTTTTCAGTTCTGATGAAGGCGTGGACGACGAGCTGGGGCACGGCGGCGTAGAGGACGCGGACGACGACGACGCGTGGCCACCGCTGCCGACAATGCAAGCCGTCAACAACCCGTTGTTGTTGTTGTTGCTCTTGGCGCTGAGATCGAGCGGCTGATCGGGCGACAGCTGCTGATGGAGTTGCCGTTGTTGCTGCTGCAGTTGTTGCTGATGGTGGTGACGGTCGCGGTGATGCCGGTGGTGCTGGTAGTGGTGGGGCGGCGACCCGCCGCCCGCCGACGCGGCCGTCGTCTCCTGCAGTCTCAGCGTGGCGGCGGCCAACAACCATTTGGGCAGTCCGGCGGCCGCGGCGTCCAGGGCGCCGGGCGACGGAGGACCGCCGGCCGGCGCGATGGTGGCCGCCGACGACGACGACGACGGCGGCGACGGGTTGTTCAGCGACGCGACCGCGGCCATGGCGGCTGCTGCGGCGGCGGCGGCGGCGGCGGCCGCGGACGTTCGGTCGGACAGCGGCAGCAGCGGCGGCGACCGGTCATCGGCGGGTCGCGGGTACGTGCCCGCCGGCGGGCTGGCGGACGACGGCCGCCTGCTG